TATCACTTTTGATATTTGTCACAGTGTGAAAGATATCATTTTTATATCAAGTTGATAGAATCCGATATTTCACTGGCCAAAATGTAATAAATTTACATAAAGGTATGTTATTACTATTATGAGTCCAATTTTGATTTTATTTTCTTATTTGTTTTATAATTGGATGCTAGATTCAAAACAGGGAAAAAAATTGTCACAGATATTGGCTTCGTCTGTCAATGTGTATTAAATGTTTCTGGTCAGATTGAATGCCATGGGAAAAAACTACAATTAATAAAAGTCTTTCAAATGGAATATTAAACAATGAGTTTATAATGCAAGTTTAAGATGAAAATGAAGAGAGAAATGGATTTGGGAATTTTATTGTGACTGATTTTTATTTTACCAAAGCTATGTTAAGAGGTGGGGGGGATTAGCTGCAAATAATAGGCAACCATAATAGTGTTACATATATATATATATATAATTTAAAGTTATTTATTGATGCAGTTCCTTTGCCATCTGTTTGTTTTATGCCAAGATACAGTTTATGAGGGTTGATGGAGGATCTGGATTATATACTTAACACAACTGGAAATAAACTGTTAAATTTCCTTTTTGATAAAATGATATAAGTATCACATAAAACTAAACAGTATATTAATTTCGTCATTTATATATGTTTATATAAAAGTTAAAAAAAACACTTGGTACATTCATGTTTAATATTCATGCATGTTTCCAATATTCTATATTTATGCACATATTTGTTGATGCTTCTTCAGACTGGGAAAGGTTTTTTGGATTTCAACTCGACATCCCGCTACATTGTCAGTGGAGTCGACCAGGCTATCAATGTTTGGGACCTTAAAGTGAGAAGTCTACGCAAAACATACAAGGTCAGGTCACTGAGATTGGTGGAGAGTCGCAAAATCATGTAATCAGGTTTGATAATAAATATAAGGATTTTGATGGACTGAATGTTTTACAATAAAGGAGATAGTGGAGCCCAAAGACTGGACCATTGCAAATGTCTAGAGATCATTTACTTTTAATTTAAAAGAATTTTCTTCTTATGCAATAAAAAAGTAATTCATGGAATATAAATTAGTTTTGAAATAGTTAAACAACTACTGCTTGTTGTGATGTCAAAAGTTAATTATGATTTTATATGTAGTTCTCAACACAAGTTTTATAATGAAAAATATTACTGGGTACAGTTTATGTTATGTTTGGTCATTTAGATTTTTTTTTCATTTCTCAGGGCCACACAGGAAAAGTGACATGTGCTAAATTTAACTGGAACGACACGTACATTGCTTCAGGTTCTGACACAGGGGAGATAATCGTGTACAATGCTGTATCTGGACAGGGATGCAGTCCAATGGTTGCTCCTAAAGCACAGGTTAAATTTCATTCAACATATTCCTCATGGGAATTATTTTTTACTCCAATTTTCTGCAAAAAGCTCCAAAATTGAAATACTAATCCTACTAATTTCAACTGTTATTATACAAAGTATAGTTTGTGCTGTTGTAAACAGCATTTCTAGTCATGTCATAAGATTTCTAGGCAATACAAATCTTCACACGAAAAGTTATTTTTGATACTGTACACATGTGTGCATTTTCCCCGTTTCTATTAAAATTATAAAAAGACCCATTCTGAAAAAGAAAAAAATCAATTTAAGATATGTGAAATGAAGGAGTGAGTATTGCAAGAAATTTTCATATCACATTACATGTCTATTGTAATATTTAGAGATTATTCCATTTTAGAAATTTTGTATTTTTCATAATTATTTTATATAGAAAATATGGAAAGTGTGCATCAGTTCAACGAGTTCCGGTGCTGAAATATTTCATACAGTTTTAGAAGCAAGCTTTACTTGAATAATATTGATTAAATCTTATCAATATTTCTGTAAAACAGTTTTCACAACTGTGCTTCAACTCTCAAACATTTTATTGAAAAAATGTTACAATATGTTGCCTTTTTAGTATTACTTACGTATTGCTAGATCAATATTGCAATAAATTGGTATTGATTTTTTTTTTTGCTTACTCTTGATCAAAAAGCAATAGAGTGTATATAATTATGATATCTGGCATTGGAGCCTTGATAATTTCTCTTAAACATATCAACATTTGTTGCTGACTTGACATTTCTTACACTGCAGGCGGTTAAGGAGATCCAGTACAGCCACTTTAAGAAGTCATTACTCGGCTCAGCATCGGATGATGGTGCTGTCAACCTGTGGGACACGAACACACGTCGCCTCATCCACAGTTTCAGCGATGCTCACCGTGCCCCTGCTACTGGCATCAACTTCTCTCCAATCAACGCCATCTTCCTTATGTCTGTTGGCCTTGACAAACGCATTATCTGCTATGACCTGGAGGGCAAGAAGTGAGTTACAGTGTTCAAGTACAGAATACATGAGTGCTCCGCAATACTGAGTTACTTCCCTTCGCTGTGACAATTGTTGAAAAAATTGTGTACTTTCTTGCACATATTTTTTTCTCAGTACAGTGCTTTTTTATTGTTCAGTTTAACCGCCGAATACAAGCTGTTTACCCGAGCTAAAAATTGCATAATTTTTCCAAAATTACCTAATGCTATATTTTCCCAATTCATACA